CATAATTTGGGAATAACTCGGAAAAGACACATTTTTGGCCCATTATGCATAGAAATGTTTGAAAGCTTACTAAATCCCCTACAAAGCTTGAAAAAAATCATCGAAATCGGACTGCGTAGTGCAAAGATATAGCGGTCTAAACTTTTAGTATTAATTCTACTTTCTACGATTTTTTTCTTCATTTCAGTTTTGGATTACTCAAAGATTACAATCTATTGTTGTAATAATTGTTTTCATCAAGTATATTTTAGTAGAATTTTATTTTTTGTTTGAATCTTTAAAATTTTTCAAGGGTATATATTAATAATAAAATTCATAATATTGAGGAAAAAGATTTTTTACCCTTATATATATATATATATATATATATATATATATATATATACTCGATGTTTGGATCATTTAAATGAATTTAAGCATGGAATAAATATATAAGGGTAAAATAAAGCTTTTTCCTTGATATTATAAATTTATTAGTAGATTTTTTTATTTAACAGAAAAAGATATAAAATTATTTCTTAATCTACCCTATTTTCTGTTATGCTCTTCTTTCAAAATTTTAAAATTTGGGCAATGACTCTTTTCTTCCTGAGACAATATACATTGTATCAATAAATAATTATTCTAGCTAATTTCAAAACATTTGGTTTTGTAAAATTAATTATTAAATTTGTTATATTGCTATAAATATGGAATATTATATACTTCATTTTAAATAAAATATTATCTATATATAAGCTATTACATGTTTCTCATTTTAAAAATTTACTTGATTATTTTTAATGACAAAAGAAACATTTCTTTATTTTTATTTTCTGTGTATTCAGACAGCTAGGTCAAAACTTATCTTCCAGATAACTAAATTCAAAGTATTTAGCCTTCATCAGATAGTTAAAGGCAATGTTTAGGAGCTTTTGTAAACTTAAGAAAAAATATCATGTTATAATTATAAATTTAATGAAACTAGAAATGGTTAACCTATGGATGGGTATAGCTTATTATATTTATAACATGATAACTTACTAAATAAAAGTATTAACACTTTGCATAGAAACATTACTGAATGGAAAATACAAATATAAGGTTTGTGCGAAGTATTCGCACGGTCAGCTAGTATTTCATATTATCAATCTCGCCTTGTTGAGGTTTTCACTTTTGTTTAAAGCACACACATTCGTTTTTTGTATTTTTATTTGTTTTTCAAAGACTGCAGTCCAAAACCATACAATCCTCTGTTTTCTCATCATTACTATAGTTTTAATTAAAATAAATAGTGAATTATAATTGTCAAGGTATTAACTCTAAAGCCGTGATTCATTTCATTAATCGAAAGGCACTGCATCTCTCTGGACAAGGACAATTGGCTGATCACTATTACTTCAACTTGCGTCAGTAGATCCACGACGGAGAGGGTAAGTTCGTGGCGGTCCTGGCACAGCCTCTGGAGTCCAATATACGGCAGGTCACGGATCCCGAGACAGATGAAGCAGGAGACCTGGATTCGCTGGCTGCAAAGCGCTGGCTATATGTAATGCAGCCTGCAGCCTCCAGTCCTGAGGATATGCACACTCCATCAGATAAGGATACAAAATAGCGCCCACACGCCTAGTTCCAGCCTGCCTATAAATCCTTTATCCTGGAACCATATTTTCATCCGGAGCCTCTGGAGAAGGGGCTTCTTCCTACCTTGGGTAGAGGAGGACTATAGTCCTTTCACTACGTCTTATTTCGAAAGACGTATGTACATATCGCTACTGTCAATGCAAATGGTCGTAGGTAAAAATTGAGGTTTTTTTTTTTTTTTTTACAGAACAGCATATTTATGATTTATAAGTATAATTTCATATTTTATTTCCTATACAGCGGACTACTTATAGCAGTTGCAGACTACAAGATATCATCATCAGCGCAAAGAGAATAAACATGTAAAACTGTTAAATACGACCTTTTACAGTAACAGTAGAGATATTGACGGTAGGTGATGAAAATCTCGTAACACTATCAGTTTATTTGAACTACATAACTTCAATCTAAAAACAAATAGAGCTCTATAGACAAAGATATTGTATACATATATACAAGTCTCTTATTTATTTATTTTTATTAACTTCAAAACCACTTTAATTTTCTTTATAGGATGTATCATGGTATCCACTGATTTCATTTTCTTCTTTTTTTTTTGTGGCGGCACATTTTAACGAGTTTTTGATATGTTTTGGGTAAACGGTGATATATTTGTTCTTTCATTTCTTTTTTAAGTACTGGGGCTTATTTTATTTCTGTTTTTCAATAGTCTAAAAATACTTAATACTAAAGTTAAATTTTTGTATTATCTTGCAGTTGACTAAATAGAGTTGCTTAAAGTAAGTTTAAATGATGATGAAAAATAAATTCAATAATCAAAACTTTTAATAGTTGTTTCTTTATTCATACCTAATAGCGAATTATTGAGAGTAGTTTATTTTATTTTATTAGTAAGATCTTAATTCTATTTTTACATTAAATAATTATTTAATATTTTTTGTTATTTTTTATAGCTTTATTTCTTCAAAAGCATCTATCAAATGTGATTAATACGTAATTCATTAAATTTTTAAATATATATGCACAATTATTGCTTTTTTTTTTGGCATGTTGCCTAATTCAACCTTAAGCAAAGAATTGTATTCCCAGTTTTTCTTTAAGCTCTTCCAAATACTCCTATATATTATCAAGGTACTTTATCAAAAATCTTTTGCTTATTTAGTCTATTCTTATCCGCTCTTACCTTATACCAGTAAAATTTCACTCTTTTTTAGCTTTGTTACTTTATTTAAAATATATTTTACCCCCACTTCTAGTTTCGTTACTCCGATAATGTATCTTTATAATCCAATGAGAACAACATCACTATTCATGGAATTTCCTATCGGATGAATCCAGAAATGTCAAGGAAGGTTGACGTACCCACTTTTCAAAATGGAGGAATAGCATTGGGACAACAAATAAGATGGCCGGTGAGATAGGCCCGGTTAGAAAGCGGTGCCCAAAGAGACCCCTGCCATTTGGGGACGATGAGGCACCTCACGTAGACGGGACTCGAATACCTTCAATTACGTCGGGCGGGATATTTCGTCCTTATAAGTCCATTCAGGACTCACCTGAAGGATATCTTTTTGAGATTTCTGCCTTTAGCTATTCCAAGCGCGTCCTCGCTCTATCCCTGCTTTTCTATTTAATATGCTCGGGATTGATCAGGCGATAGAGACGAAACAAACTCTTATTCAAGTCAGTAAGGAGGCCAATGATTCTTTATTTAATGGAATTCCGGTATTTTTCAAAGAAACATCTTTTTTTTTTAAGAATTGCATGTTTGAGGAATATAATAACGAAAAAATTTCGTTTTGAAGTCTAGTAGTTCATGGCACAGACCACTCTTTATCAAATTATTACCATCTGCCTAAAACTGCGTCAATGCCTTCATATTTTTTATTTTTATAATTTTTTATCTACGAAAATTGTCAAAAATGGGGCGTTTTCTTACTAACTTAATTAATGTTAAGAGATACTAAAAACTCATAAATACCCATTTGTTTGCCACTTGAATTGTAATATAATTTTATTACAAATTCATGAAGAAGCGTGGCCTACAAAAATATCGAGCCTTTTGTATAACCGTGTGTTTTGAAATGTTGAAGTTGCTAATATTTTGTTTGGCAACCCTTTTTTTCGATTCTGTGATCAAATTATCATATGATTCAAATGGGTGTTCATGAGTTTTTAATACTTAATTGAATAGACAAAGTTTTCCGTTCTCCAAATCGAAAACTTGTCGCGATTACGAGAATTTTGTAAATGAAAACGTTGTTGGTTACGATGAGATTAAGCTATGTGCGAGATTTTAGACGGATGTTAATAATTTGATAAAAAGAGGACTTTACCGCCATATATATTCCAGATACTGTTTTATCGTTCACTTAGCGGAATTTTCAACTGTGGTTTATACAATGTACAATGTTTCTGAAACTGATAGTCTCAGTCACTAAATCTGCGCCTTTTAGTTATAAATATAAATAGCTATAATTATAAATATAAATATAAGAATAGCTATAAATATCAATAGAAAATATACCATAATATTCATAATTTTTCACTTAGTTTTTTTTATGACATTCTGATTCAAAAGAATGTTTCTGAAAAGAATAGAAGTTAAAAGGTAAAAGAAAAATGACAATAAAAAGCTATGGATGACCTATAAGACAATATTTAGGAACAATAGGCTATAGAATATTTCTGAAAATATGTAATAGGCCCGAAACATTGAAGCGGAAAACATGAGTAATAAATAATTTACCCCAGGAGGAATTTCTTTTTCGCATACTTTTTTTATCAACAAAGTATATACTGTAATTTCATTTTGTCCACTTAATTGCTTTTATAATATCCTAATTGAAAATATCCCAAAAACAATTTTTCGCCATTTTTGAATATTCTGCATTTTTAAAATTTAAATTTCTAACACAAGAAAGAAAATCAAAATGCTCTTCTTATTATTACACTTTAATAAGTCATGTATTATGTTAATTATCAGAATTTTTTAAACCACTTTGCTTCGTTAGGTGATGTAGAAAAAAATTAATAAATTATATTTATTTTGATTTTGATTTGATAGTTACACAATTATTAGAATTTAAGACATTCCAAATCCCAACTATCCGTTTAGACATTCCAAAATATGTTTTTCGATGAAAAGTGAATTGAAAATGACAGCACAGAAAAATGCCTTTAATAAAAAATTAAAAATTACATATGAGAGTAAGAATAAAAATTGAAAATCAAAAGAAACAACATTATATTCAATTTGGTATCGCTCTCGTGCTATATATGTACTAGAGATACTGATATTTGCAATGACGATATAACTTTAGTAAATACACATCAAACTCTATGCTTTAATCGCATAAACTTATTTCATTGGGGAAAGAAATATAGGTCCTCGTGTTCATGCTGATTCTAAGCTGCCATAATCCATGGATCTAAACCAATTGGTCAGTGTCATTGAACCCGAGTGAGTCGGTGGGAAGGACATGGCCAGATTTGCCCCAAAAGGGGCGGTTATGGATGGAGCTAAGGGTGGCCTGTCACTGCACCATGGAGAACATGGTTCGTAGCAACGTGAGGTTGGATGAACTCCTCCAGGATATCTGCACTCCTGAAATTAATATACATTTGTAAGAAGACTACATCACGCGGGCAAAGATCTTCGTGGTCTATTAGAAAAAAAATATATATGTATATACATACTTATTGCCTAATTTATATTCAACCCTAGTTTGTACATCATTAGAGTATTCACTAAGCCATACAAGCCGAGGATATTGAACATCTTGAAACAATGGATCATTACTATAGCATACATATTTCATACTTGGACAGCATCTTTGCATGGTACTTAGGGTTGGCATTTACCAGCCGTGTTTGTAAATAAGAAGGATAAATATAAGATTATTTTGTCTAATTATCATATTAATAAATCATATGTTTTATATACTGGGTTGACAACGCAATAAACAAAACATTTAGTTAAAAAGATGTTTTATTGATGAAATATAATTGGAGGTGCGTACTTTATAAAACCTTAATCGTTTATTGATTAAATGTAATGAATAAATGAAGAACTTCCCTCACCGCTAAAAATGAAGAACCGAAATAAGGTTCCTTTTCATAGATTTTTATTTAAAATTTTTATTAAAATTGGAGGGTGGATACCGCGAGGCCTTGGGTGGAGGTTGGTGACCCAGAGAGGACATGTGCTCGGAGCGACATCTGGGAGGCCATCTGCAGCAGTTGCGCTAATGACCGAGCAGTGGCCCGTAAGTACCCAGTGCCTCTGGTCCACTTAGCCGTCTACTCAAATTGTACGCTACATCTATAGGCCTTACTTACGCTGCTCCTACCGCCGGGCTGAGTATGGTCTTCAGCTCTATCATTACTACTGTGGTCACTGTCCATTGAGCTCTCTCTCTAATAGTCAGTGCGGTGGTCTTTGGGGAACCATTCAATTTCACAACGGGATACGCTTGGTTGCGTTCTTGGATTCCTTTAGTGTGTAGAGGATTCGATAATCGCTAACTTTATCTCCAAAAGATATTTAAAAAAAAAAAAAAACTGCATTACTGCAACCCATGAATGGTTTTTAGATTTTGTAAGGAAGTACTGTTTTATGCAGGGAGGTGATCGGGCCGAGATGAGGCTCAATCGCCAAGTTTTCCAACTTAATTAATTATTTTAATTAAGAATATCTATCTAGTATCTAGTTCACAGAGGCTGGGTGTGCTATAGGAGGGTCTCCTTACTCAATAGTCGATCCACAGCAGATAAAAAAAGCCCGATTCGAAAATGGGGCCATGCGCTTTGAAAGTCAGTGCTATCCCCTCCCAAAAGATATATAAGATGTGCATATATACAAAGATTTATGTATCCTCAACGCCCAGTGATATAATAAAAGGCCTCTGGCCACAGATGCAAAGTATGCATACAGCGTGCATAGCCCTTTTACCTTAAAATGCCCTTGGGCAATAAAAGGAAATTTAAAAATTATGTATATATAGCATTTATATATATTGTATTTTGTAATAAAGAAATTCCTGGGGGGTAAAAAAAAAATTATTTAAAATTTAATTTAATTTAAAGATTTATGTATGGTAGTTAAATACTTGGCTACTTAATAACCAATGATTTTTTTTATTGGAGAACAACTTAGTTTCTATCATTTATTTTTTCTTTTTTGTATTGATTTTACATATCTTGTAATGATATATAATAACTTGACCTTTTGAGTTCTTTAATCTTGGGTAATTTCTTTCACACTATCTACGTGCAGGTCTCTTGCATCTTTGTTGGTTCACACAATCTATCTGGTTAATAACTTTCCAAGTGGTCTATTGCCTACTATTAAGGTTACGAACTTAAATCCGGTCGGGTCTGGCTATAAACATTAAGTTTGGGACGATGGTGGTATAAGTTCTCCATTTAACGATGGTTTAAAAAATTTAGAGGTAATACATAATGTAATAAATTTTATTGATAAAAATTCATTATAAACCTTCAAAATGATTAAGATAGTAAGAACTATACATAGTACCATAATCTTATAATAAAAGTTTGTAGTTATGCGTTTTTATCATGTAAAGACAATTTCACTTAATTTCAAATAGTGTAATAAAATTATGATAATGTAATAAATAAAAAAATACTGGTATATATAATCGAAGATGCAAACAAGTCGTATTGGGTGGCCGACGTTATCAAGGCCCGTAGCCCGAAGCGAGTTGTGGCATTTGAACACAAGAACGTTCCTCTCGGGCCAACGGCTATCCTGAAAAGATAAACTACTCCGCCATCCATCATCGAATCTAGATCCCTGGCCGAGGTGGCCTTTCCATCTCGATGGCCTACAAAACCAACTGGGCTCCGTTCCCACACTTTTCGATTATTTGCCAGAATTAGGCCGGCTTCTTTTATGGACATTCAAGGAAACCAGTTCCCATGGTAACGTGTCACCTGAGTAATAAATAATAAACATGAATAACAAAAAATATCACATTATTATTAGTAGTTATTTGCAAGTAGGGATAATGAAATTTTTCAGTGAAAAATATATTTTTCTTGTCTTTTCTATCGCAATTTATTTATTTTTTTCTGAAGTAATAAGTAATTACAGACTTTATAAATATTTTAACATGTTAAACCAGCCTTCTCCATCTCTGCCTATGTTGGGCTATTGATTTCCAGTTATCTGCATGTAGGTATTTAGCTTTTTTGTAGATTAATAACTACTTGGTATTAAGAGAGCACAATAATAGATTAGCATAAGCTCAGAGACAGCTGTTTCTTAACTATTTATGGATTTTTTAAATAAAAAAATCGTTTTTGTGAATAAACATTAAGGCAAAATAGTTACTAATATTAGACACCTTTAGTTACTATACTTAAAGAATTGGTTGAGCCAATATACTTTTGCATTTAACTCTTCCAATTTTTGATTCAGTGATTAGTTAGGTTTCTCCATTCTGAATAATGGCAGTGACATCTCTATAATATGTATTATTTTTTTAAAGGTTATCAAATTTCCAACAAAACTATAAAAAATATCGTTTAAAACAGATCAGTTTTAGCAACGTTACAGTGTATTGAATTTTATACACTGATTTTAATAATTGTTGCCCGTTTACATTGCTTTAGTTCATCAAAGAAATCGAACTCTAATGATTTTTCTAAACAACAAAACTATTCTAATTCAATTGTTATTTTTAATGAACATATTTAAAATTGATTTTAATAATTGTTGCCCGTTTCTTCCGTTGCTTTAGTTCATCAAAGAAATCGAACTCTAATGATTTTTCTGATCAAGAAAATTATTGTATTTCAATTGTCATTTTTAATGAACATATTCAAAATGATTGACACCAGATTTATTATTTAAATAATTGGTGACATGGTATAGATTGTTTTTAAGAAGAAGAATAAATTTTATTCTGGGACATTTAATCCTCTAAGAATAATCATGATGAACAAAAAGAGGACAATTGTCTAGAATTATTAATAATTAGTTAACATAGCATAATAAGCTAACTATAAAATTAGAATAAATTAAGTACAAGTAAACATATTAATTTGTACACAAATATATACGAGCGTTCATATTTTTGTTCTGATTAACAATATTGCTAATATATAAGAAACAGTCAACAGTAATATAACAGTCGAATGAAGGTGACAGCTCTTAAATACGAAATCTTATTCGGTAGATTGATGGCTAAGAAAGTGGAAGAATAAATGTTGTTTGAATGTGGTGAAGGAAGAGGATTTGAGTATTAAGGTAGGTAGGGAATTCCAAAAAAGGTAGCACACATGATAAAGAATTTTTTTAACGAAACTAAGAGTGTTCCCCCCTAACAGGTTTATGGATTGGGATCTCGAGTTAAAGGAATGAACAGAGGAACAAAGAGTAAACAAATCTTTCTTGAAAATGCATTTTTTTTTTCATTTTAATTTTATTAATTTGGGTTGACTTTACTATATTTATGGTAATAAAACATTTAAATGTATCAATTATCTAACGTTTTTCTAAGATATAAAGTAGCATGTTTAATAAATAGCAAAAAACGGTAAGCCTCATGGGAGACTCTTCGGCAAGAGCAAGACTCGTCTTGCGATTTGGACAACAATACTAATCGCTTATTTAGTAAATTGTTTCTTTAACAGCTGTGTTAAAATATAATTTAACACAACTTCAATAATTATTATTTAAATAATAGTTGAATTGACTATATTGATAATATCATATTGTACATATATTCGAATAATCATCTGTTTCGATGATATTGCTTCAACGTCGAATTCACTAGTAATAGCGATAGCTATCTAAAGTTCTCCCTCTGCTTTACTTGAGATCATTATTTGCGAAAATAAATGGGCACAGAATATTCAAAACGCTTTCATAAAAGAAACGCGCTTATTACAAATGGCCTTATTCATTGGCACCTCTCTCCTCGAAGTCACCATTAGCCATCTCTATGATCGAGTGTGTGGACCCTTCGGCTTGGAGAGCAATTCGTTTTAGGTGAAAGAGTCGATATAAATCAGCTGTGGCAGCAATGAATAAAATTATGGTGTTATGCAAAATTATTGTCGTAAATCTGCGAAGGAGCGACCGGTCAAAAATGTCGCAGAGTTCGTGTCTCAGTTGGCTAAACAGTCTAATGCAAATTGCTTGTTTTATAGCCCCGGCGTGCACAGCTCCATCTAGAATGGAACATATTAACGGCTGGTACTATCGAGAAAACCCACCTTCCGAGCCGTTATCACTTGAAGAAATAACTGTTATAATGTGCCATGGTCGCTTTTAAGAGTCGTGGTCATAAGAGGGATATGGAAAAGAAAAAAAGTGTAAAATATATTTAATTTCCAACACCTCATTGATTAGTGTAACAAAAACCATTTAGCCAAAGCACATATTCATCATGCTGGTACTGATGAAGCGACCTAGTCTAGTCTTGAAGGTTATAGTGGACCTAGTTGCCATCTCCTGACAACTTGGCATTTCTAGGGAATTTCAAGAAATACATATTACTCAATTATCAAACCCACAGCCTACTCATCAAGTCTATATTAATCATGGATAGAAAATTGTAATGTAATTTCATAAATATATAAATAAAAGATTACAGCGACTTCCGCAGACGATACAGCAATTCTAACAAGATATAAAAATCCTACCCACGGGTCACAGACTTTACAACACCATCTAACAAAATTAAAAGATTGTTGCAAATTCTGGAAAATTCAAATCAACCAAGACAAATCACAACACTTGACTTTTTCTCTTCGACATGAAACAAATCATCCTATATATCTTGATAATGCTGAACTATTTTGAACTGACATACGACAGAAAAAATTACATGGGATCCAGAAATAAAAAAATAAAAAAAAACGTTAA